GGAAGAAGAGTAACAAAAAATCAACCGACAATTTTCCTTTTTTCATTAATTATTTCTGCCTTTTATATATATATATATATATATATAAATATATATATATATTTGTGTAACTATTATTATACACTACTTATTCCACCAACCTTTCATTGAAATTATTATTTTTTTTAAAGAATTTTAAATTAAATAATTTTTTAGTTTAATTAGCAAAATAATTTAGAAAATAACCAATTAAATAATTTATAAATATAATTTTTTATTAATTTATTATAATTATTTTAATTAAAAAAATATAATTATCATCTGTCACTAATTAAAATTATAATAAATTATTAATACGAAACTCAAGGTAAATATTTTAACAATAGATATATATATATATATAATTATAAAATTTTGTGTAATATTAATTCATATGATTAAATTTTAATTTTATTTTAAGTTAAAAAATATGAAAAAGTGATATTTTAATTAATTTTAGGTTAAAAATAAATTGTCAGCTTAATTTTTTAATAAATTAAAAAATATTAATTAATTAATTTTAATTAATGACCACTACAATGCATCATCTTAGAGGCATTAAAAAGTTAGGGAGTGTGTGGGGCCCAAACCAACTCAATGATGATATAAGCAAGAAAAATCATGGCATGAGCACTTTGTGACTTGTAAGTGTACCATCTGATCCTCTGCTTGGTCAAAACACTGATTTGATTTTCTCTCAGTTCTCTATTTCTTGATTTAGAAAGGGACCCACAAAATCAACGGTCCAGATTGTGAGTTCAAACTGACGGTCGTGGATTCGCATTTAATTTATTTATTTTTTAATTATCATTCAATAAGCTGGTTGAGATTTACCTAAAAATTTAATTATTATAAAATATTTTTTTATTAAAATCGTGTAAAATATAATTGACCCGTTGGATTTTAATTCAACTCGATTAACAAAGTTATAATAATATATTAATAAAAGTAAATTCTTTATTCTTACTTAATTAAGTGTTATGATCACCACCAACTTATAATATATTTATAAATTAATGAATTTTATATTTTTAATACAGTCTGAAATTCGTGATCTTCAAGTAAAAAAATAAATTTTTACTCATTAAACTATTGTTTTAATGTAAAAATTATTAACTTTAAAGAAAAATTAAAACGAATGTTTAATAAATTTTCTACATTATGTGAACAAATGCTGACATAATTAAACTACGAGAAAGATAAAATCACAATGCAATATTAAACCTTAGTAAAAAACATAACGGTGATAATTACAATAATAAATATATAAACTATTTTTTAATATAAATATATATTTTATTAATTAAGTTATATAGATATACTTAGTACAATAAATTATTTTTTTAATAATATATAAAAAAAATACGGTCAAAGTTAAACTCATAACCATCGATAAGACTTTTTAATATATATTGCAACATCTCGACAAAAATTAAAAGGGAAAAAAAAAATAGGATAAAATAAAATCATAATTTAGATACGAAAACGTATAATAACGTTAGTATTTATATTTCTTACACATAAAGTAGCATGTCCAATAAATTTATAAAAATGTGTATTTCACAGCAGTTCAAAAAGTATAATGAATTGCATGTATATTGTTTACTTGGATTTGAATGAGATCATGAAAATGGATAGATGGAATACAAGTGAAATTTGGATGTTACATATATAAACTAAAATTGATACACATTTAAATTTTTACGAAAAAGTTATACTTTTTTACTCAGTCAGCTGATCCCGTCCTAGTAGCCATCAAGAAATATGTAGAATACAGAATTTGTAACGGCCCCGGAAAATATTAAAATGAAATGAGTATTTAAATATATCGAATGCGGAAGCGAGATCAAAATTTCATTTAACATCCCTTACACGAAAAACCAAAAACGTACTTAAAATATAAAAGATTAAACTAACTAAGAAAGAAACTCGAAAATAAAACTATGCGTATGACTACAGAGTCTCTAGGCATCCCCTTCGTCGTCCTCCTGCGGAACGGGCTCGGGAACCATGTCTTCCTGATCTGAAATGGTTAATTAAGGAGTGAGCTACACTAGCCCAGTAAGAACATCACGATATCTCACCGTCACGGAGATAAAGGTGGGTAAAAAACCACAAAAAGACCAATGGAGCATAATTTACAATAAACTCGTTTATTAACAACAAAACCTTTTATCAATAATAAAACTTTGACCATCCACTTACCTTGGTGGAATTTATGAAAACAATATGAGAAAAACAATAACATTATCATAATCATTGAATAATCTAAGCTGTAAAACATAACACTTATCACGCCTCTTGTAATTCAATCATTGTACAACATATCTTTTTCTCATTTACCAGCCTACTAGTATCCGTGGGGGTCCATAGGGGTTCCGCTACCCGTTAACCTTTAACATTCATAATCAGTTTCCAGGGCCGTCCCCATACCCCGTCCGGTATGGGCGCCAAAACCATGAACCTCAATACCCCGTCCGGTATGAGGGTGAAACGGGCCGTCCCCATACCCCGTCCGGTATGGGCGCCAAAACCATAAACCTCAATACCCCGTCCGGTATGAGGGTGAAACGGGCCGTCCCCATACCCCGTCCGGTATGGGCGCCAAAACCATAAGATCTCCATACCCCGTCCGGCATGTGAGACCACAATCCCGGTAGGGTTCCCTACGGACCCGGTCCGTCCACCATCTCCCAGGATATCTAGTCAGGCTGACCCCCATAATACAATTATCAGTTTACACAATCTTTCATTTTTCCTTTTCCCCAATCAGCATCATCAATTCACATTTAAACAAGCAAATCGTAATTCATACCAAACAGACAACATACAGTATCAGTTTTTCAGTCATTCAACCCATAATTAATAAAAACGTAGTGCATGCACACAAATCTGTAAAATGAACACATCAAACCTCATTTTGCATTTAAAGCTGTAAACAGGCCAAATAACAGTAAATCATCAATCACACTAGACTCGGGCTCCATTAGCAACCTTAAGCAATTTCACACATGCGTTAATTCAAGAAATACTGTTTTATCATTTTGAACTTTAATACCGTGATAGGAAATACGGGTGAGGGGTCCTTACTTGTTTTCGGGATCCGAATACGATTCACAGTGCGCCTGCAGGCTGTCCCTAATTTTCCCCTGAATTTTTCCCGGGGAACTGAAACACG